CTGGTGATGTCTTATAGGCGAACGTGTCCACCACTAACCCGCCACCACCCCCGTCTGAAAATGAGTGAACGCTGGTGTTTGGCTGCTGCTAGACATTTCCACGCGACGGTGATGATGCCGTTTGCCCCGTATTCTTGCGCAGGGAAATTGAGTTTTCAGGTCCAAACGGCGTACAGCCCCTTCAATGACGGGCAACAATAAAACAACATTCTATGTGTTTGTGTTGCTCCCTCGCGATGGGACTTTGTAGGATGAACGTTGAGATTCATAAGGGGCACGGGGTGACCAGTAAGGTCTGAATTGGTCCGTAATAAGGTCGGGCACTGATAAGAGGTTGGCAGGTAGGACACTACTATAGACTACTACACTACTATAGACTACTACACTATAGACCACTACACTATAGACCACTACACTATAGACCACTACACTATATACTACTACACTATAGACTACTACACTACTATAGACTACTACACTACTATAGACCACTACACTACTATAGACTACTACACTACTATAGACTACTACACTACTATAGACTACTACACTATAGACCTACACTACTATAGACTACACTACTATAGACTACTACACTATAGACCACTACACTATAGACTACTACACTATAGACTACTACACTATAGACCACTACACTATAGACTACTACACTATAGACTACTACACTACTATAGACTACTACACTACTATAGACTACTACACTACTATACACTACTACACTATAGACTACTACACTATAGACTACTGCACTACTATAGACTACTACACTACTATAGACTACTACACTACTATACACTACTACACTATAGACTACTACACTATAGACTACTACACTACTATAGACTACTACACTACTATAGACTACTACACTACTATACACTACTACACTATAGACTACTACACTATAGACTACTACACTACTATAGACTACTACACTACTATAGACTACTACACTACTATAGACTACTACACTACTATAGACTACTACACTATAGACTACTACACTACTATAGACTACTACACTATAAACTACTACACTATAGACCACGACACTACTATAGACTACTACACTACTATAGACTACTACACTACTATACACTACTACACTATAGACTACTACACTATAGACTACTACACTACTATAGACTACTACACTACTATAGACTACTACACTACTATAGACTACTACACTACTATAGACTACTACACTATAGACCACTACACTACTATAGACCACTACACTATAGACTACTACACTACTATAGACCACGACACTACTATAGACCACTACACTATAGACTACTACACTACTATAGACCACGACACTACTATAGACTACTACACTACTATAGACTACTACACTACTATAGACTACTACACTACTATAGACCACGACACTACTATAGACTACTACACTACATACCTGTCAACCCATTCAGGTGTACAGCCGTTTCATCAATACGGGCACACAGAGCAATCGTTGCGTCTATCTGTTTGGGTTTCTCCCTTGAGCTGGGACTTTGTAGATTGAACATTGAGGACACGGGGTGACCATTGAGGTCTGAATTGGCCTGTGTTAAGGGCACTGATAAGGGGTTGACAGCTGTGGGATGATGATAAGTCACTTGGCCGAGCTGTCATTTGTGACGGCCAAGTCTGCGCTACTGAACAAGTATAACCCTATGGGGACCTCATTGCACCATTAAAGGTGTCAGTTTTGTTGCCAGATAGAAGGGTAAAGAACCAATTATCAAGTATAACCCGTAAAAACAAAGTTTTTCACTATAAATCCTTTATATGCGTGGCGGCTAGAGTCCTCTCGTCCTCTGGCTTGAGATGGCTGCCACCTATGGGTCAGATGATTGCATTGCACCATTAAGCAATTGGTAATTAAATATAATATTTTGTCCTAAAAAGTGTAAAATTTTGGAAAAAAAATTTCACGAACATTAATTGTCACGCACAACGAGTCTGTGTGAAGAATGTCAGCTCGATTTGGATCACGGGAAGTGGGTTAAAAAACGACCCAAAGATTTGCACGGTCGTAAGCAAGCAAGCGAACTTAATATAAAGGATTTAAAAAAGAGATTCTACGGAGCTCAGCGCTGACCTCACCACCTCACCAGGTAAACATTTAAACATTCGTTTTCTTACACGCTTTCTATTAACTCACTCTGTCTGTTGTTGTTGTATCCTCAAATCTTGTAACTCAATTTTAACCCACTTACCAATGTGGTATCGACTGCAAACTTGGTATACTTATGTCATACTGATGACAATACTATATTATATCATATAATTTTTTTAAACATTTGTAAACATTTTGTATATGTTACGTTTCGGCTTGGGTCTAATTGTCCACGCTCAACTGACGTTGGCTGTAAATCACCACGGCCCCTTACATTATGGCAATCTTCGGGGCCACTTCCTGGAGTCGTGGAGTTCTGCCATAACTAGAACATTTCAAAAAGCGTGTTTTAAAAAAGTTTTTACAAATATTATTCGTGTTCACGTCACACGACCTCCTGCGTACAGGGGGGGGGGGAGTTAACATCTCGCCACCGCCGGTGTACCCTGGAATGCGGCCTGGGAATGCGTTACAGCGCCGGGAGGTGAGGGAGCGAGGGACACAGGGAGGGAGGGGAGGGAAAGGGTGGGAGGGAGAGGAGGGTGGGAGGGAGGGAGGGAAGGAGGTAGAGTGGGAGGGAGGGAAGGGAGTGACACAGGGAGGGAGGGAGGGAGAGGAGGGGAGGGTGGGAGGGAGGGAGGTAGGGTGGGAGGGAAGGGAGTGACACAGGGAGGGTAGGGAGAGGAGGGAGAGGGTGGGAGGGAGGGAGGTAGGGGGGAGGGAAGGGAGTGACACAGAGAGGGAGGGAGAGGAGGGAGAGGGTGGGAGGGAGGGAGGTAGGGTGGGAGGGAAGGGAGTGACACAGGGAGGGTAGGGAGAGGAGGGAGAGGGTGGGAGGGAGGGAGGTAGGGTGGGAGGGAAGGGAGTGACACAGAGAGGGAGGGAGAGGAGGGAGAGGGTGGGAGGGAGGGAGGTAGGGTGGGAGGGAAGGGAGTGACACAGGGAGGGTAGGGAGAGAGGGAGGCAGGGGAGGGAGGGAGAGAGGAGGGAGTGACGCAGGGAGGTGAGGGAGAGGAGGGTGAGAGGGAGAGGAAGGTGGGACGCAGGGAGGGAGGGCAGGAGGGAAGGGAGGCAGGGAGGCAGGGGAGGCAGGGGAGGGAGGGGAAGCAGTGAGTGAATGTGATGGGGCACTGCCTTTGGGTGCTCTGCGTGAGGCC